GCTCAGACTATGAAAGATTTCTAAATGTTTACGCCCTCCCACCAGCAGCAACACCACCACGGGAGGAGCTCACCCTGGGAATGCAGGGAGCTCAGTGAGAGAACCGCTGGCAGGAGCCCGGAAGCACCATCTTCAGCTTGGGAGGCTAACTGGTTGCCAACATTATGAAACTCCATATTGTTCCCACACCACATAAAATAAACAGCAGCATGGCTTTACATATGGGGTGTGAAGCGCCAGATATCTATAAGTAGTAAACACACATCTTGGAGCGTGATGTTGCTTGCGGCCATATGTCAGGGAACACAGACTATGGCGCTTAATAACGCGTGCGGAACAGTCGGCGCCGTCCGCTCGACTCGAGACACACACGGAAGCAGCCCCAGTGCCTCAGCGCCCAGAAAGTTGGGGACATTTATAAACGCACAGAGCAGGGTGACACCTGTCAAGCCTGGTAATGCTGCAGAGGGCGACATCTTTTTAATATACTTTTATTTTATGTCTACTTTAAAATTTGAATACTTTTACCCTGAGCATTCAGGTAACGAGTATCATAATCAGAAAAGGCACTGCAGCTGTTTCTGTTAGAGAAGGAACAGGAAACCACCACAGTACAACACTGATTCGTTCAGGTGGGCGAGATGAACTCCAGATAGTCTTATCTGCCATGAGGTCACTGACCAGCCCACTGCCCATGGAACGATCCAGATTCATGGCTGGCTTATCCCATCACACAGCCTATAATTTAAGGCGGTTACCTTCCCCACAAAGAGCCTGCAGACCCATCCTGGAGCGTGCAGAACCAATTATCTAAAAGTCATGCATGTCGGGCCAATGCCTTGGGAAGTAACTGGCCACAACAGAAGAGGAGCAGCTGCTGGAGCCCAGGCCCAGCCCAGGGACCACCACGCCTTGAAAGACTGAGGCCCGAGGAGCCCCTTTTTACATCCCATCCGCCTAGCAGGGTCTGATACGAGTTGCTGGTGGCTGTAGCTGGTGGTAGGAAGGGCCCAACACCTCCGGAGGCAAGTTCTTTCCAGAGGCCCCACGTCTGCTGATCCTGCCAGCAGGCCAGGTACCATGGCCAGCCTGGACTGAGGTGTGAGGTGCTGAACAACCCAGTGCCAACCCAGTGCCAACAGAAGGCTTGCTCTCACTTGCCCACCGAGAATTAGCTGCCAGCTTCAAGTTTTCCCCACAGTGGATAAATGTCGGAGCCCTTAGGGGTGTGAGCGAGCTCGCCAGTGTGCCCCATGGCCGCACGCTCTTCTGCAGAGCAGGTGCACTGTACGGAGCCGCACTGCGCATGCTGTTATATTACAGTGACACATGGTGCTCCAAACCTTCAGTTTCTGTTTCTACATCTCGTGAAATAGTTTCCCGCAAACACTCTCTGGGCCTTCCCCACATGATGGTGTTTGTTAAGTCATCACACAGATCATGGGACGGCAACTGTCCCCCCACACTGGCCTCAGACCCGTGCATAGCCACACGCGACAGTGGCACGGTGAGTTCTGCTCCCGCCGGGAGAACCCAGCTCCCAATAGTTTCATGGTTGCTTTCCCGTCTCCGTCCTGAGCTGTAATCACTACTTCCGACACTGTCTGGCCTTTGGCGACCTTGCACGGGTCTTCTTTACTACGATGAGGTCATTCCCACAGAGTGATGGCTCAGCTTTGAATACACAGCAAACCTCCTCAGCTCACTCGGTTTAAGACTTTAAGCTCTGCTCGCCTCTAAAACCAGAGGCTCGGTGAGGGTTAGCTGAGGAGTCTCCCGCATGGCTACTAGTGAGAAAATAAGGGTCCCACATCCTCCACCCCGCACTGTGGGTGCACATCTTCTGAGCAGCTTTTCCTTTGAAAAGCTTTATTTTTACAAGCATCTGGGTGACATCATTTTTCCTATAAGCAATTATGGTAATCTTTGATTTCTCCCATACTGCTGCCGCAAAAGTTATAGACTATTTCAAATGGTAATTTTGGTATGTGTTCAACATAAAATGTCATAAATACATGAAAGAAAAACTTCTTCAGGACCTGAATATAAGGATTCTCCATCTCTTCTCAAGATTCCTTTTGAAACTCACCTTCAATTTGTTCATATAAATGTCAGAGACATGAATTAGCTCTAGACATTCTACTGCAAACTTGTGTTTTTCCTACCACGCCACTAGGACAGAAATAATGAATTCACACCGTCTGCATTCCACTGCATTCTCGCTGCAGGACCTTCTCTCCTAGAATCCTGGCATCTCCACATTACTCATCCCTGTCAGAACCCAAAATAGTCCACAGTGCCTACCTAGCCCACGGAGTACGAACGCCTGTTGGTCTGCTTCTGTGGGAAAGCCTCCAGCTCCACATGCAAACAGCCATCGTTGCTGCTTGGTAGGGACTCTGTGGACATCGATTTTGGAATTTCTGGGCTCTCAGAACACCACATTCAGTGTAAGTGTGTAAGAGAGGAAGCACAGTGTCCTCTCTTCCACCCGGCACCTCCACCTGCCAGACCTTCCTCCCCAGGGGCACAGTCTGTCTCTGCCCCATGCAGTGTGGTCGCCAAGGTGGATGGGAGCTGGGGGCATGGCAAGGGCCAGAGAAGAGCTGACCTCTCACTCCACTGAATGCGAACTTAGATGGCCACTGAGAGCTGGTGGCTTCCCCACTGGTGCCGAGTGTGGGCCTCCTTGTGTGCAGCCAGCAACAATAGCAAGAGGAAGCACACAGGAACCCAGAGCTCGACGCTGGAGCTCGCTATTCACGGTGGGCTCCGCACGCATCCCCATGTGCCAGGGGGAAGCTCCACAGTGGGCCCTTGCCCACGTGAGGGCAAGCAGGCTGGCTCACTCACCTTTCCCGTCTTCCTTCCTTGGCTCTTATTTAAAGGTTCCCACCTTTGCACCCCACTCTGTAAGGCATCCCCGCACCCCGGAGCCCCTCTGGGCAGAGCTCCCTGCAGAGGCTGGCCACACCCTCTGTGCACAGCTGCACTCCCACCTCACCAAGGGACACGTGGGGCGCAGTCATCAGGGCGCAGAGGAGTCCAGATTAGCCGGGTCCCACCCTGCAGTGCACAAGCCCTCCCCCTTGGCTGGTCTCAGCTTGCAGACGAACGCGTCGCCTTGCTGTTAGCGCGATGCGCAGGGCATTTGGCTTCACGCAGAACGGCATGTTTATGCCTTTTCAAGTAGCCTAGTAAAACATGTTTTACACCTTTCCTATGTTATTGACATGCTTTCGTGCTGCAACACAATGGGCTGGTCTTCAGATCAATACTTCCCGCCATCACCAAGCTAGAAGGAAAGATCATCATTGTGCTCCTGTGGCAGAGAGCCAGGCGGAGAGGCGACACCCTACAAAGCCCCGGCGTCTGCGGACCTTGCATGTGTGCGTTCGCATGTTCCCAGTAAGATCTCGAGGATACGGATTTCACTCAAGGCTAGTTTACTTGGAGATATCGCAGGACGACCCATTTGCGCCCGGCTTTGCCAACTGCCCACGGCCCAAGAAAGGTGCGTCTTTCAATAATTTCTATTCGTGTAGCAATGGTCACAAATAGATAGCTCTGTTTCCTTGAAAAATATTCCTTTGTACAACTTTTTTTGCCAGTTAAATCCTGGTGCTGACTGAAAAACAAATAAACAAAAAACATAAGAAGAAACCTAGACACACATTGTAGTCAGAAATACAAGTTAAACAGTGACATATGGAATGAATTTCAAGAGATGAGAAGTTTAAAGGATTATATTCTTTATTTAGCTACAAATACCTAGCAACACTTAAATACTGAGTGTATTTCTATATGTATTAGTTTTACAGATTGTTATTAACCAGATAAGTGTGATATTTGCTTTCTCTTTCTTTTATTCTCATATGCATTCCTGATAACTTTCTATATACTGACCCAAAAGACATGGCAAGAACCTGACATACTTTTAAAATAGCAAATAAAAATTAAATTGGAGATTACTAAGCAAGCTGTCTGTCTATCTGTCATCTACTATCTATCCATCTTCTATTTATCCATCACCTATGTATCTACCCATCTATTTATCTATTATCTATCAATCAATCATCTATTTAACTATCATTTATCATCTAATTATCTGTCAACTATCTATTATGTATCTATTATCTATCATCTATCATCTGTTTATTATCGATCTATTTATCTATCATTTATTGATCTATAGCTATCTGTCTGTCTGTCTGTCTGTCTGTCTATCATCTATCTATCCTGGCCAGGGATCAAGCCCAGGTCCTTGCAATGCTAGGCAAGTGTTCTATCACTCAGCTGCACCATCAGGCCTTGCTAAAATTTAATTTTAAATTTTAATTTTTATTAAGCAGGTGCAGCCACATCCTTAGGATATCAGAGAAGACTTAGAAGTCAGTTAAAAAGTGAGGCTCATTCTACCTTTCCTTTCTTGCTGCCAAGCAGCAATTGCCCTTCCACCCCTCCACTGTTTCTCATATTTGCCTCCACATTTGCAATAATCTAAATGGTCCTGCCGAAACTCCCCCCTTGCACTTGGCCTGCAGGTTATCTGTCTCGCCCTTTTTTTCTGTAGAGCTAGGACTGCAAGCTCCTGATGCGCCTCGGAGACGCAGCTGTGGTGGCGCCGGTCCCAGGAGCAGAAGGCTCTCTCCAGCCTTGCACGCCTCGCCCCTCCCTGTACTATTCTCCCACGGGTACACTTATTGTGCTGTCACAGTAGCCCAGCTTTCCCTTCCGAGTCCTGTCACCGCGGGTCACTTCCCACCACTCGCAGGTTCCGCAGGGATCCGTGCCATCCACCAGCTCTTGGGGGTGCTGTCTAGCGTTTTCTGTTTGCGGTTAACATCCAGAGTCCTGGCCGCCGCCGCGGTTTGAGGGCGGGAGGCTGGGGGAGGGTCTGAGGCAGCTGCTGTAGGTGCCCACGGAGCGAGCGGGCGTGCGGAGCGGCGACAGCGGTGTGGGATCTGCCTCTGTGAGCGGCCCGGGGCGGCGGCAGCGCCATGAGCGGGGGCACTCCTTACATCGGCAGCAAGATCAACCTCATTTCCAAGGTGGAGATCCGCTACGAGGGCATCCTCTACACCATCGACACCAAGAACTCCACCGTAGCCCTCACCAAAGTTGGATCCTTTGGTACAGAAGACCGGCCAACAGATGGTCCAATACCACCTCTAGATGAAGTCTTTGAATACATTATATTCCGTGGAAGTGATGTTAAAGACCTCACTGTTTGTGAGCCGCCAAAACCACAGTGTTCTTTGCCTCAGGACCCAGCCATTGTTCGGTCTTCATTAGGTTCATCTATTTCTCCATTCCAGTCAGTGAGTTCCTGTGGACCTTTTGGCAGGATGCCGACATACAGCCAGTTCAGTCCAAGTTCATTGGTCGGGCAGCAGTTTGGTGCTGTTGGTATCGCTGGAAGCTCTTGACAGCCTTTGGATCAGAAACGTCAAGCAGCGGTACCTTATCCCAAAGTAGTGCAGTTGGGTCTGCCTTTACGCAGGATACAAGATCTATAAAGACACAGTTATCTCAAGGTCATTCAAGCCTTCAGTTAGACCCTTTGAGAAAAAGCCCAACCATGGAGCAAGAGTACAGACCGCCTCAGCCCACTTACCTGCTCCAGCACCAGGTGGGAGAAGGAGCCCTCCTGTATCAGCCAGGCCTTTGCCATCTACCAGCCAAGAAGCAATAGAGAATCAAGAGCACAGGCGAGCTGAAGTACGCAAAGTTTCAAGGCCAGAAAATGAGCAACCCAGAAATGATAGTAAGACAAATCCTTCCAGGTGCTCCTTCAACTCCAAGGACAGGGTGTGGAGGACGTCGAGGTGGCCGGGGAAGGTTTGGTATTTGGAGAGATGGTCCGATGAAATTTGAGAAAGACTTTGACTTCGAAAGTGCAAATGCACAATTTAACAAAGAGGAGATTGACAGAGAATTTCATAGTAGACTTAAATTAAAAGAAGATAAACTTGAGAAACAAAAGAAACCTGTAAATGGTGAAGATAAGGGAGACTCTGGAGTTGATACCCAAAACAGTGAAGGAATGCTGATGAAGAAGACCCTCTTGGCCCTAATTGCTACTACAACAAAACTAAATGTTGATATTTCTTGTGATGATAATAGGGAACGGAGACCAACCTGGGCTGAAGAAAGGCGATTAAATGCTGAAACTTTTGGGATTCCACTCCATCCAAACCGTGGTCGTGGAGGGTACAGAGGAGGCAGAGGAGGTCTTGGTTTCCGTGGCGGCCGAGGACGTGGCAGTGGCAGAGGTGGTAACTTTATTACTCCTCAGGGATTTCGTGGTGGATTCAGAGGAGGTCGTGGTGGAAGAGAGTTTGCAGATTTTGAATATAGGAAAGACAACAAAGTTGCTGCATAGTCTTCAAACAAGTCTTTGAAAATGGGTGAATTTGTAGCTCTTTATGGTCCTGAAACTTGGTTTCGGTCTTTGTGAAGAATGAAGAAGTGAATTTGCTGTGTATTTGTCACCAGCACTGGGTTTTATTTTTCCAACTAATTTCAAAGATACAACATAGTTACTTTTGGGGGGAGGAAGGCTCATCTTTAGAAATGAGCATTAAATATATTTGGAATAGCAGAAGGTTAAGTAATTTCTTATGTATAGCTAAACTGAAGCAGTACTTAAGTGGGACTTACAAGTATTTTTTCATCACTGAGCGGATTTTTGTTATCACTAAATTGTATTTGGCAATGATTGCAAGATAGGGCCGTGATACTGGGTTTTGAGCCACAGAAAGGGGTGTGTGTGTGTGTGTGTGTGTGTATGTGTGTGTGTTTTGAAATCCTATAATATGAGGTAGCTTATTTCGTCAATTAATTAGGATGCTGGATGGTAGAGAATTTTGTCGGTCAACTATGTACACACAGTAAATACTGTTTCTTAGGCAAAGGTAGCTTTTTTATATAGTTGTAAAATTCCATTATATTCCATTGCCAAAGAAACATTAAGAACTTTGTATAGCTGTATAAAAAGCAACTAATTTTTTAAAGAATAAACATTTTAAAGTCAGCAAACATACTGTGTCTTTGGAGAAGTTGATGTGCTAAAGAGTGAAGTTATGGGTGAGTCTTTTTTTTCTTAGCTTTTCAGGCTTAAGATTTTTAAATTTGTTTTTAATATTTTGAACATAAATGAAGATTTGATACATTCTTCCAAAAGGGTAAATTATTCATGCTCAGTGTAAGAACTTCATTTTGTAGCAAATGACATATCACAGGATTTGTTCAAATAGTAAATATGTTCAGTATATGAATGTAAATCATCATAGATAAGAATGTACTTAGCGGTATTTTCAAGTAAGTAACCTTCCCCTCTTTTTTAAGACATTGAAACTAGGCATCAATTTGCCTGCATTTCCTGATACGCCTGGTATCTTGTTGTGATGATTCATTCCGTTATATTTCAGAAGGATTCAGAGTGTTCAGAATTATTTTGACAGCCATGACCTGTGCACTGACACTTTCCTTGGGCAGTGACTCAGAATAGAGTTCATTGCTAATTATAAATTACTAATCAATCTTTTTAATATTTCAAGCTATAATGGAAAAAATTAGCCACTTTTGTGTTTTTATGAAGGCCATGGAGTAAAGGTATCCAAAGATTTAAATATTTTTATCTGTTTTGATTTTTAACATTATCCTTAAAACATGCAGTAGTGATAAAGATGTAGAAAACTGTGCTGTAGGAGAATTGGAATATTTAAAGATGGTTGACATTTTTAATTTTATATCTTTTGCATAGCTCTACAATGAACTGTTTTGTAATTTGGTTTCATTACTAAGATCAAGTATTTGGCCTCCTAAGTTTAGATAATGTTTAGTCCTATTTGCTTGCATGTTAACAAAATCTTTGGAGGACCCTCAAATCATGATATTGAACACATTTCTGAGGCATTCTGATCGTCATGCTGTGGCAATGCCTGAGTAGACTAAGATATTCCTGGCTGATTTCAAGAAGAAGAGCTGTAAAATAACAGTTCTACGCGCTCTGAAAGTATTGGGGCATTTGTCGTCCCAGTAACAACTGGCAGCATGACATACCTGCAGGGCACCTTACAATATTAGCAAGGTTTTTATTCTAAAACAGAATAAAACTGTTCAATAAAAAAAAAAAAAAACCATTCAGAGTCCTGCATCACGTTTCCTGGAGTGCCATTTGCACAGAAGGCCCAATTATAGGATTTCCATTCGGTTCCCGAACTATCACCCTGCCCAGCAAAGGCGTCTAACTCCAGCTAAACAAACGTGACGGGAATTTCATTGGAAATAGTTGAAATTACGTGACCTCAAGGGACACTGACCTTGTGGCGCTAAGACTAACTCAAGAACATGGTATGTCTTTCCCCCTTCTAGCAATTTCGAGGGTGCATTGCACACTGTTTCATAGTTTTCCATATTTAGGTTTAAATATTTGTTGGTAATGTTTACTCCTAAGTTTCCTGTTCTTTGTCGTAAGTATGGTGCCTTGCTAACTTTTCTGTTGTTTAAAAATGAGAAGATACTGATTTTGTGACAATTGCTATAAGCTTATTACTTTCTTAATTTTTCTTTTTCCTTTTCCTAGGTTTCCCTCGTATTCCCTGAAATTCTCAGGGTATGGGTTTCCATTATCTGGTAGGGAGTGTTTCACTTCTCTCTTGCTGGTTCTGATTTAATACATATGGCAGCTGCACGGAAAAAATGGGCATCTTTGCCCAGTCCCTGGCTTTGGCAAGTCCCCTTGCTCAGTCACCTGTTCGCTTGTCCGCCAGTTCTGAGCTGCTCTCCTGCTGGGCTCCCGGGGGCGCTGCACCTCGCCCCCTCCACCTACCTCAGTCCTGCCCTCAGCATGCTGGGGTCCCCCGCCCCATCCTCCTGCCCTCTATGCCACGGCACACGCATCACTTTCTCATTTCTTGCCCGCACTGTGGAAGGCAGCCCCGCAGTGCAGCGAGCCTGTGCTTGCTGCCCCCTTAGTCTTCAGTCTCCACGATGATGTGCCGCAAGTATGGCACCTAACGACCCATCGCTTCTGCTCGTTTGCTGTGAACAGCAGCCTCTGGCTGGATGCGCATTGAAATAATCTGCCAGCACATCAGGAAACCCTGTCTCAAAGTGCCTGCGTCCCCCTGCAAAAAACCTCAAGAAATTTCTTGGTCATCAACCCTTACCCCAAATGCCCGCCATCTGGGCAGAATCCAGGTTTCCACACCTACGAACACAGAAGCGGCCCTCGCCCCTTGGCTGAAGGCCCAGAATGCATGTGTCTCTGGGGAGCTCTGTGAGGGTCTGGCTGGGTGTACCCCAAGCTCACTTCCCTTTCTTCCCTGTGAGTGTGGCACGGTTTTGCTTGGAGCACCGAGGAATCCAGCTGTCTCAGTTACCCTTCTCTCATTGCTGGGACAAACACCCGACACTCAAAATTAGGGAGGGAAAAGTTTATGGAGCTCATGATTACTGGAGGCTTCAGGCCATACTCAGCTGGCTCTAAAGCAGAGCAGCGCATGGCAGAGAGCAACCTTTCCTGGTGGTGGCAAAGAGCAGAAAGCACAATGGAGGAGTAGCAGCCACAACAGCAGCAGAGAGCAGGTTTGTGTCCCTTAAGCTGCATTCAGGCTGTCCGCCCAGGCTGGTGTGGCACCCATACGCATAGTCCCAGCAGCACTCACACCCATAACCCCAGTAGCACCAGCAGCACTCACACCCATAATCCCAGTAGCACCAGCAGCACTCACACCCATAATCCCAGTGGCTCATGAATTAATCACAAACTCTAGAAGTCTACACCATGATTGCATGAGGCTTTGGGGGACAACTAGACACAAGCCATAACACCAGCCCTAAGGGAACACGGATGGCAACCACGCCTGGTGTCATAGGCAGCCGGAGTGTGGGTGGTCTGAGCTGCATGCCCTGGAGTCTGGAGCCACCTACCTCCCGCTGTCCGCAGGCAGCCTCCTTCCTCGCCACCCTTATGCCTACAGAGAGTGAAGCAGGGGGCAGGTAGGGCTGGTTAGCATCCAGGAGGACAGTCACCCCATCAGGACAGCACAGACAGACCCCGACGTCTGGGGCAGTGAGTGTCTGGTGGCCAGGCCCTCGCGTCCCGAGCCGGACACAGTGCTGCTAGAACATCACCTCTGCTGAGTCCCTGCCCGCCAGAGCAGCCAATATCTCACTGATACATTTTTAAATCTTCGTTCAACATTCAATAGTGCAGATTAAAATTCCTATAGAACTACTCAATAGCATAGTGTAAGAGGAAGAGAGCCTGAGGGCTTAAGTCATGACATTCCTCGCTTTGGGGTGCAAAATGGAGCTGCCAGGGGAAGACTTTCTATTCCAGAGAAGCGGGGGGGGGGGGGGGGTCGGCTGCACGCTGTGCCTCCAGCCACACCAGTCCTCCAGGGACGGTGACGCGCTCTCCAAGGCCCCGCGCAGGCAGGCCCGGGACTCTGCTCACTGCGGTGGAGGAGGTGGGGACGCTTGCCTCGACCTTGGGAAGTTTGCGCTCAGCCTGCTCTTGAAGGCAGATAGACAAACAGTGTGGAGACGTCTATGATGGATGTTTGGACAGTGAGCTATTGAAATGCACAGAAAGGAGTAATTATTCCCTCCACGGAAAGTCCTGTGCGTGATAATTAAAACTATCTTCGCTGGCCATGAATTAACAATGTTGTATACTCAGTGGGTTCTCGTACAAGAGATGCTAAACGCAATCAAAATCCTTGACGACGCCCTCCGGTGGGAACACAGCCCACACACCTCCAGCACGCTGGCGCCGCGCCGCCAAGCTCATCACGAAAAGCAAGCTCCAGGCTGCCGCGTGATGTGTTTACGGGGCTGCTTCCCCCTCCGCTCCGGCCCAGACCCTTCTCATCCTGCAGGATGGCGTGGGATGCGGCTGTACGCCTTCCTGCTTCCAAGCCCTGATTGCTTCTTGGCATTTATCATAATCTGAAATTACATGTTTGTGTCTGTAGTCGTTACCCTCATGAAGCTGAAATCCAGCACGTGGCAACCCCGCATCAGGTGAGGGAAGGACGTTGCCCTGGTGATCGTCTCTGACTTTATTCCAAGACCCCAGCTCCGCCGCAGCCAGAAGCGCTGACCCAAACACGCTGCCATTTTCCAGCTTTGCTGGACTACCCCTGACAAACACAATCGCATCTACTTGAGATGCGCGGCGGACTTGCTGTTTAACGTATCTATCGCCACCATTAAGCTAACTAACGTACTCCTCACTTCACTGAGCTGCTGTTTGGGTGCGTGTGCGTGCACACACGTGTGCGTGTACCCAGTGAGCAGAGCACACTTGACATCTATGCTCTCAGTACACTTCAGGGACACAGCTCAGAGTCGCCACCTACTGTGACCACTCTGGACCTTACGTCTCCAGAATGCACTTATTTTGAAAGAGAAAGTCTAAACCGTTCAACCAGCATC